TTGCGCGTATTACAGATGATTTTGCAATATAGTTCACTATTTAGAGTTTAAATCGTATACATTTGAAGATAAAAGCCCCTAGAGGCGTCAATAATTTTGTAATTGGTTCGACAACGATCAAAAGACAAAACCCGACTGAAAACAATTATATCGAAATCATTGACGATGATCCCGATCAAAATATGTCAAACGTTCAAAATTATGGCGAAAACTTGGACCAGATCAAAAGCTCGGGAAACAAAAGACGCACTTTTGCTGAAGCGGTTTTACCACTGGTGAATGATATAAACGCTCAAAAAGATGGAAATCGGGTTGGCACTCACAATTCGAAACCATCGGTCGTTGGTTCAAACACTCGTAAAAGAACCGGCGAAACAATCAACGTAAATCCGAAAAAAGTAAAACGATTCCAGTGCAAGATTTGCGAATATAGCAGTGATTATAGTGGCAATTTACAAATTCATGTGCGTACTCACACAGGTGAGAAACCTTATCGATGTGATCGTTGCTTGAAACGTTTTACACAACAAGCTCACCTGAATGTGCACATGAAGACCCATACCACCGAGTTCGCGTTCCATTGTTTCAAGTGCTTCCGTGGATTTTCAACAGAAATCGAGAAAGACGAACATGAAAATGGTTGCAACCATCGATTGTACGAATGCTATATTTGCAAGAAATTTTCTAATCGAAATAAATCCAATATGAAGATACATATGCGGAATCATACGGATGAAAAACCATTTCGTTGCGACATATGCGAGAAGCGCTATAAAATAAAGGAATCTCTTATACTTCATTTGAATACTATTCATCGTTAAAAATCATCAATGACTTACTCATTACAGCGTTATAACTGCAAACATCGATATTGGTCGTAACTTCTTCAACTTAAGTTTTCTTCAAAAATTTCCATTCTTTTCATTGCGTCTAATTATTTCAACTTGTTCATTTCCCAAGATAATTTAGATTTAAGAATTTTTCTGTAGACAAAATTGTGTGAACTTTAATGAAAACATACATAAAATACATACGAATAGAACATTAAAGTAACAGCAAATGAGTTTTTAATCACATTAAGAAATGAATTTCTATTTGTGATAGATTCCGTACTAGAGAGTATTATTTACAAGAGAATATTTTACACCAGGATGGTAAAAGTGTTCTTTATTCTAGTGTGTATTGTCCCAAGTGACAATTTAGTTGATATATCAATAAAACTTATAAATGCGATTTGATTTTAATTCAGTGAATGAAGAATTTATTGCCAATTGATCAATTACATTGTTAAAATTAACATGCAGAAACAAGATTATTTATATTTTTCACGTGCACGAGCATGTTCCATTATTCCTTTTATTTATCGTAATTGCGGCAGTTTTTATTGTTGCTTTTTGGTCGCTTTGCGACGTTGCAAGGTTTGCTTTGATGGTGGTGACACTTTGTCGTACCGAGTACGGAACCATTCCTCCTTTGTTCGGAATTCTAATATTGCACGAAGACGGTTGTGGCTTCGTGCAGAAACAGCGCATCGCCAAATTTTGCATAATTCTTTGTGGACTTCACCTCTAAATCTAATTAAAAAAATGAATAATTTGTGAATCTAATCGAATTTCTTTTATTCAGACGAAAAACTTACTGATGTGGATGGATTGCTTTGCCGTCTTGCTTCATCTGTTCCATTAATTTTATCAAATCTTCTGCCGCTTTACGATCTTGTTTGGCCGGGATATTGGATTTGAATCCGTGTGCATTTCGTTTCTTTCGTGCCATATTTTGACCCTTTTTTCTGAAATAAAATCAAAATGTGGTCATTTCCTATAGCATTCCGTATTGCGCAGACAATTTATCTGAACGACATTCATTAGCTTTGTTATTTGAACTAAAAGAGGAAAAAAATTCAAGGCCTCCTATGACCGTTTATTAGTAATAAATTATTACTTTTTTGCCACCAAACTTTATAGCGCGAAATTTACATGGAATGTGTCATAGAAACACAGCCGAAATAGATTCTTGAATTTTTTGAAAATAAAGCGATGGTTTGCATTACTTAACAATATTTAATATTGAATACATTTTTAACATCTCAAAAGGTACTCACTGCTTTCTTCACCCAACCCAATGAAATTGGTTCAATTAATTTTCAAATTTCCCGAATTTTATTTGGCTGGCCCACCAGTAACAACTGATTCTAAACAAAAATTGTCGATTTTTCTATATTTTTGACTATTCTTTAACTTGGTTCATTAAAAAAAATCGTTAGGCTAACTTTCCGAATAGCACCGTGTTCTTCTAGTAGCACGTGCTACTCCTGTGAATTCTAAAAGCAGAAGGGATTTGCCGTTTGTGTGATGGTATGGAAATGTCAAACAATGAATGTATGTATGCGATGCGAGCTGGTTGGTTGGCGCGTATTCGCTATTGCTTGACATTTCGATCAAAATTAGCCCAAATCGAAAGGCAAACACAAACAAGGATTGATTCATGTATTGTTGCGGCGAAAAATTGCTCTTATTTTGTTGAAATTCTTATATCAGTTTTATTTAAGTTTATTTCACTAGGTTTTTGAACAAGTCGTTTCTAGATTTCAGTTGTAGTGAACACCGAAAGAATGACTAATATAGAACGAATTAGGCGTGTCACTCTTAGACATGATTCAACCAATTTGTATCAAAAGAAAAGCGGCAAACACCAAGTAATGACAGATATTGTGTATAAGTAGCTTTAAAAATGAGATGTTTATCAAAATATGTTGTCACTTTTCTTTTTGAAAAATGTGTGAAATTCTACAGTTGACACGGAAATTACTTTTTTCACTCACTTAAATGAAGACAACGAAATCCATGCCAGTAAAAATACTTACTGTTATTTGAATTGAGAATGCTAAATAGAACACGTCCAGATACACATAAAGCGAAAATTAGTGCCAAAATAAAGAGAATGTCAAAGCACGTTGTAAATCATATGGAAGCTGTGCTTGTGTATGTGCAATGTGGCACCTTGTATGGTGTGTACTCTCAATGACATATCGATCAATGTTTGCCCATATGGCCAAACAATATTTAAACAAGAAATTGGACTTTTCAATGGGATTTTGGTACATATTAAATTTCAATGAAACATAATTTGTTGCATTTTTTCAAATCAAACTTCATAATAAAAACAGCTGCCATAAATGTTAGCATTTCAATTGACATTATTGATCCAGTCACGGTAAACAGAGACTTTTGTATAAATTCCCGGATAATTTGGATCGGCACATTTGGCTCCCCATGAGACAACACCGTATAAAATCGGATCTGAATTGCCGGAATAAACCAATGGTCCTCCACTGTCGCCTTTGGATGCATCCTTCCCACCGACCCCATAGAAACCAGCACAAATCATATTCTTCGTTAGTTTTCCGGGCCCTTTATAGCTTTTATAGCTTTTATAGCATAGATCGTAATCAACAATTGGCACCGACACTGAATGTAGTACGTCGACTTTATTGCCATTCGGTGTTATCACTCCAAATCCAGAAACAACAACATGTGTATCCGGTGGTAATATAATACTTGTTCCAGCCAACAGTATTCCAC